CTCTGAAAAGTCGGGCACTCGGTCATGGACGGAGCGCCTGACAGTTTCAGGAGAGAGGAGGGGACCCAGCGGCATACCTCATCCCACCGGGTGACTGTCCCCTCCTCTCTTTGCCTGCGTCCATCACCAAGATGGTCACCGGCAGGTATCAATAAGACTGTGACTCATGCGCGATGACGTCATGGCGGGTGTCACCCGGTAACCTTTACCTGCGACACCCGGCCTCGGGACGCCCCTGGTTGCTTTCCTTGAGCTCCTCTTCTAAAAATTCTTGTTGTCTGAGAGTTTATTCTCATGGTTTTGGTATTTAAAAAAAAAAAAACCTGTAGCCCCAATGGCTCAGGAAACCCCCAGCAGTGTTCGAGTTTGCCCCAACCCCAACGCTGTCACTTTTTCTGGTCAACCTGGTCTGCATGTAAATATAGAGGTTATTATAAATAAAGGCCTGTGAAATAAAATCATTCATATACTGAATATCATTATTGCATTTATTAACTGAACACAAGATGACAAAAAACCTCTTTTTAATTTTCTCCCTTTTGGTCTGTCAAATATACCAAAGCAATTGTCATATCTGCCTGAGGAGTGCAAAACAAACAAAAAAATGCCTTTTGATCCTGCCAGAATCTTAAACTGTGGTGTTGGCCTGCTGTCTCTCATGAGCAACCATTCTTCCTAGTTCTCTCTTTGAACAACAGAAACATGCTCCCCTTTATGTTATAAGAGAACAGAATGGGAGGGGAGGTGTTCTGTGCTCCTACCACACTTCCTGGCCTAGGGTGACAACGCTGTTTCTCCAAGGACTGGACCCTAGGACAGGGAATCATACTGGAACAGGAAGAGTGTTACTAGCGGGTTACATTAAAGAAAAAAAGAAAAGAAATGAATGCAGCCACCACAATTAAGCTGCAATATATATTTGTTCTTGGGATCAGATACACTTTTTTTTGTCCCCCCCTTTTTCTCTTAATCTGTTTTCTGCTTTCTGAATTTGGGTTCGTGTAATAAACATAATTGTTCTTTACTGCACCATTTTTCTTGCAAACCCACAACTTTCATAAATTGACATGACAAATAGGTTTTTCACTAGGAGATGCCTCATTGCTGGCCTACTCCACAGAAGAACTCTCCGCATCCCTTATCGATTCATCAGCAGCAATTTAATTTTATCGTGTTTTCTGGGGAAGGAAATCGGGACGAATCATTCACTGTTAAAGAGGAAGAAAACCCCCAAATAGACATTTATTTTTCAAAGTTGGTTTAACCTCATTAATTGCACTGCGGTTTGTTGAGTGCCATTCGGATGCATCTGCTTCTCTGCTGAGGTTAAATGTTGTTCATTGCTGGTCGTCATACACTATATGGTCATAAGTATGTGGGGACCTCTCCAAACCATTAAAATCAGGTGTTTCCAGTGAAGTGTACGCAATTAAACATGATGGGGCCCTGTGCAGCCTACATGACAGGGCCCCCCTTCCAATAACCCCCCTCAACATGGTCTCCCTTCCCCTACGCCTAACCCCACCCTTTCCCGTTTCCTTCAGGATCTAGCTGAGAAACATGCCTCCTTTGCTTGTTCTTCACAGTGCCAGATCCAGGAGTGATCTCCTTGCTCTGTCTGGTCATGCCCACCCCACTCTCTTTGGCTGGAGGCATACCTCGGGCAGCTCTATTGGCCACTGCATGCTGCCATTGGATGCCATTTAGGACACCCTGCCAGCTCCTGGACGTTCCTGTAACCAGGCCACCTCCCCTTGGCTGAGGCTCAGGCACTCCCCTCTTACCTGAAAAAGCCTGAGTCCAGTATAAGAGGGCTGGCTGCACCCCCTAACTGTGGCCCTGTGAACTGTAGATGCTCCAATATACAAATACATTTTAGACAATTGTGTCCGTCTAACCTTGTGACAACAATTTTGAGAAAGCCCTTTTCTATGCCATCATGACTGTGCTCTAAATTTAGGTCCATAAAGACATGGTTTGATGCGTTTAGTGTGGAGGAACTCAAGTGTCCTGGACAGAGCTCTGACCTCCACCCTACTAAATGCCTTTGGGAGGATTTGGAATGGCGACTGCAAGCCAGGCCTTCTCATCCAACATCAGTAGCTGACTTTAAAATTGCTCTTTTAGTTGAATGTGCTCAAATTCCCAAAGACACACCCCCTAAAAAGCTTGTGAAAAGTATTTCCAGAAGAGTGGAGGTTGTTATAGCTGCAAAGGAAGACCACCTTCCACCCATGGCTTTGGAACAGGATATCCATATAGGTGCGATGGTCAGGTGTCCACAAACTTTTGACCATATAGTGAATTTGGCACACACCTCCTATGGCACAATAGGTTTCATTCCCCAAATCTGAAAGTTTTAGACATCTGTTCAAGCTTTTGAACCCTACCTATAAGCCTTGTTCGGTGGCCTTCAGCTGAATTATATAGGCTCAATTTTAAATAAAGCAAGCAGACAATTAGAACATTTTTAGTTAGGTGGTGTTATGTTTTTTTGTTTTGTTCTCTGCTTTTGCTTTCAGTACCAAGGTTTTTTTTTTTTTTTGTTTCTTGTGTTGGCTTTCGGCACAAATTTAAAGTGATATTAAATCCTCCTTTTAAAAAAAAAATATTTCCTACAAGGAGACCCTACTTTGCTTTAGACTGTTGCCGTTTAAAAAAAAAAGTTTTTAATTCCTTGTTTTTTAGTGGGTCCCCGCAGCAATCTCCGCCCCACCGTCTGCACGGGTGCCTCCAACGGCTAATGGAAGCTCCCGTGCACGCTCGTAGCCGCAGTGGCTGTGTGCTTTCATAGACACACACAGCCCTGTGGCAAGCCACGCCCCTCCTCTCCGCCCAACAGTTTGATTAATGGCAGAAGGAGCTATGGCTCCTTTGCCATCAGTATCCTCCCCCGCAACCAGGAAGTTCGGGGAACAAAGGATCTCTTCGGGACCGGCGGCGGGGACGAGCATAGCTGACAGGTAAGTGTGTGGCGGGGGAGGGGTGGACTGGTGAAGAAAAAAGGTTCTGGGTGGTTTTTACTCTAATGCAGAGAATGCATTAAGGTAAAAAACGCCAAGACCTTAATACTAATTTAATAAAAACATATGTAGTCATTTTCTGAAGGTGAAACCAGTTCCCAACTAGGGATGAGTGAAATCAGACATTTTCACTTCACCAACATTATGGGGCAGATCTGGACATTGTGGCAAAGTTCGCCATTCTGGAGACATTTGTGAAGTGAATTAAGAAAGGTAAAAGTAAGATAATTTTTCAAGGGGACAATGGGCTTTGAAAGGTGACTAAGGGTTAAGGAAGCTCTCCTGGACCTGCTCTTCTGCCCAAAAAAAAAATCCCTAATGGTAACGGTGTTCCTACTTCTAAAGCTACCAGGGGCGTCCCGAGGCCGGGTGTCACCCGGAGCAGAGACCGGGTGACACCCATCATGACATCACCGCACATGACGTCATCAGGCATGTGCGACCATCTAATTGACGCCTACCGGTGGGCCATCTTGGTGATGGACGCCAGCAAAGAGAGGAGAGGACGTTCACCCGGAGGGATGAGGTATGCCCCCGGGTCCCCTCCTGACACTGTCTGGCTCTTGGTCCATGACCGAGTTCCTGACTTTTTAAAGGGGGTGACACCAAAATGACTGTCAGTCACCTTGGTGTCACCCCCCTTGTGACACCACTGAAAGCTACCCCTAATGCTAACAACAACCCAGATGCTCTTTGTGTATAAACAAAGTTGTTTTTTTTACCACACCAGTGCTTTATTGGTAGAGCTATGTAATACAGTGCCAGGGTCGCACAGCTTGGAGCACAAAACTAAGATTATATATCGTAATCTAAGCCTAGGCAAAATTAATGGACTAGAGCTTAAGTATGGCCTTTTAATGATAAAAAAAAATTCAGCTGCTTTGTTAAATTCTCTCTCTGAACAGATACACAGTGCTGGGACAGAATTAGCTTTCAACAGAGAGCATACATAACCCAAAGGTACTTGAAAGGCAATATTGCAGTGAGTCATCTGTACCATGAATAGACTAAACCCATAAAAGCCCGTTAAAAACTAATAGGAAAAAAAACAAAACTACAAAAACACCCTTCTGGTGTACAGTTAATGTTTTCTGAGTGTCTTTCTTCCTCCAATCACATAGAAAAGTATATGGGAAGAAGAGTATAGCATATGAGCCACTAATGAAAGCTATATGACTGCAGATGGAATAACAGATAGGTGCGGGTTTGTTTTCGAGGCTTGCACGCTATATTATAATAGAAAATAAAAGAAAAACAAGAAAATATGTGGAAGAGGAGGATAGTAACTAAAGACAAAAACGTACTTTCACTTAATTCCAAAAGAAAACATTTTCACGGGAAATACGCTAAAGATTTCTACTATAAAGTATTCCAATTGTGTTGGTTGTATGTCGTATTTTTACAGTTCAAGATTGTACGTTGGTTGTTTAATTGCATGTCTTTAGAATAAATTAAGAAGATCTGAAAAGCGGAGAAGGGTTCAGTGACCCTGTCAGATGTTTTAAAAAAATCTAGATTAAAGGTCCATGCCCCCAATAATGCCAATATCAATGTCCTTCCGCAGATACCAATGCCCCCACTGATACCAATGTCCTTGCACAGATACCAAGGTCCTTCCACAGATACCAAGGTCCTTCCACAGATACCAAGGTCCTTCCACAGATACCAAGGTCCTTCTGTACTGACACCTGTATGCCCATAACCTGGCCACATTTACATTTTTAAGTTAATTGTTTAGTTTTAGGTGATAGCTTGCAATCCTGTTTCCATTTCCCGTGTCTATGGCCTGCTTTGGTCTGCGTGTACAGATGTCGCTTTGCAGAATTCTGAAACTCACCAGTCCAGGAACATCCATAGCACATGCTTAAGGTAGTCAAAAGAATAATTAAAAATGAAACCTAAAACGTCACTCATTTGACTCACGAATGTTGTTGCTTTTTTCTGGAAGCTTCTAATGGAGACTGAAAATCAACTTACCTCACTGGGTTGCTGGTCAAGGAAACCCGAAGAGACTCCAGGCAGTTGAGGAGTTTGTCATCTGCAATTCCAGAGCGAAGTTCATGGACGTACTCTTGTGATGACAGCGTGCACTCGTGCTTGTTGTTCTTCAAGCCGCCCTATTACAGAGAGAGAGAGAGAGAGAAAGAGAGACAACATGGGATTATGGGTAAGTCTGTATGTATGGACATCACTACAAGAGATCCTATATATATATATACATATACATATATACATATATACACACACACATACACACAGTATTATGTATTTTTAATGTGACTAGTACACCAAGTAGCTGAATCTGTCTCGACAGCCACCCTTGCATAGCCGTCCACAGACTGGTATAGGGAGAGGCGGTGTGCAGAGGCATGACTCACGATGGTGCTGCTGCTCCTTCGTTGACCAATCAGCAGACTGGGGATGTATTTTTGACCAAGCTATTCTGCTGCTACAGTGAAAATTGAAGGATATGGCTATGCTGTCTGACAAAGAGACTTAGATCACCGATTTGGCTTAACAAGATGACAAATATATTGGCAGGTAAAGCACTCCCCTTGCATATATTTCAGCTGCATGCTAAAGTTCAGTTTTAATAAAATAATATATAATTATTGCAAAGGGAACAAAAAAATTAGTGTAATCAATGTCAAAGGAGCAGTAGAGTGAAATGTAGCTTTTGCAGATGACAGCCGTCAAATCCGCAGCCAGGACTTAAAAGGACAAAGCTCAAAGGTGCCATAAACCTTGTGTGCAAATTATAAGTTTACACTGCAGCCTCCAGGAGTCGTATGAGGCCGGCCGCCACCGAGACCTTCCTAATTCCTTGGCCTTACACCGTAAATCCTTCTCTATCAGACTCAATGATCCGTGACCAGAAAACCAGAGGAAGAAAATCATCTGCAATGAATGAAGAATTGGTGAGGTACCTAAACTCATTATCTTCTCCACTCCTCAGGGAGATGAGCAGATATAAGTCAATGGACACTGAGTTTCACCATGCAGTTCTGGGCAGCTGAAACTTGACATATGATACCTGAGTTTAGCAACCGAACAACAATATTCAGGCATCACTGGGCATCATGGTCCCTTGATGGTTAGCATAGCTATCTTGCAGTGCAAGGGTCTTAGGTTCAATTTTTCTTCTTACTAGAGATTATGTAACATGGAGGTTGGAGCTCGGCGGGGTGGGCAGCTAAACGAGAGGAACAGCAGAATCTTTCAGCAGTATTCTGGGTGCTCTCCACTAACACCCATAAACAGCAACAGATGGGTACCATAAATTCCAGGAGCACCCAGAATGGTTTAACTGTCATGGACAGGACAGGCTAGTGCCTCTCCAGGTTAGACAGCACCTGATCACCCAACTTTGTCAAGGCCTCGTGGGGAAGAAGGACTAATGGTTACCATCAAATAAAGTCACTAGATCTGGTTGACTTCATCCCCAGGTTCTCTACACCTTGCTGCTATTTCCAGACCTCAACCAACTCTGCCCCCTCAATTTCTCTTTAGTCTTCATCAGCCCCTTCCCCTAGTAGTTGCTCCCAATCTCTCTTTAGTCTTCATCAGTCCCTTCCCCTAGTAGTTGCTCCCAATCTCTCTTTAGTCTTCATCAGCCCCTTCCCCCAGTAGTTGCTCCCATTATATAGACAGGTATTTTTTTTTTAAAAAGCGGCAGGAGTCATTATTATAATTGGAGTCCACACAACTGCCTCTTGGTGGACGATAAAAAAAATGTTTTGTAAGAAACTGAACAATAAAAATAATTTTGTAAGATATTTTATGTAAGTCTATGGCCACCCTAAATGAGAGCCAAATGAAGATGAATAGGTTGTCATTCCTAACCTCTCTTTCTGAAAATGCTAGTTCCATGACTTTTATGATTATCCCAATTTTAAAGGCGAACTTTTTACTTTACACTTTTTTGCAAACATTCATACCAAGAAATTAAGGATTATATATTTGGAAGGAAAAATAGTTATGTTGAAGATTTTTATAATTGGGTAAATTATCACTGCTCTTTGACATATATATATATATTGTGACAGGGTACACGACTCTGTGTATGTCAGTGAGAGGTTGAAAAGGGCAGCTTTCCCTGGCTAGGAAAGGGTTAAGCCTGGCCCAACAGGTAAACCTCCTCTCTTTCTCTCTCTGTATTAATTAGCCTGCACCTGATAGTGACGGAGAGGGAGTGAGAGCTCAGAGTGAGATCCAGGCTGCACTGGATGGACACAGACTGGAGAGTGTCTGCATATCTGGGGAGTAAGGTCTGTCAGAACAATTGTTTGTATTGGACTGTGGTTTTTGTCCATTTATACTGGAAGCTGGAATAGCCGCTCCAGTAGGACGTAGTGAGGGACACTACTGTCTAGTTAGCCTCCTAAGGTGGAGTAGGCCTTTTTATTTGTGTTACTTTTTCGTTGGATGCAATAAAGCTGCATTTATTGCCATTACTGTTTAAAGACCAGTGACTTTCCTACAAGTGGTGTCAGAAGTGGGATTTCATTGTTGTACCGGCCAATTCCTCACGGTGGCCTTAAAGGTACAGGACCCAGAGAATGGAGGATATTGTGAAAGCCCTGATACAAGCTGCCACTGTGCAGCAAGAGACTAACAAACAGGTAGCTGCCTCAGCTGCAGTGCAACAAGAGACCAACAGGCTCCTGGCTTTGCAGGTTGAAGCTTTGACTGAAGCACAAAAAGCAGATCATGCTATTCTCAAAGAAACCCTGGACCAGATGACTGCCCAAGGATCTCCTAACCCACCAGCAAGGGGGGTAAGCCAAATACGCGCAAGCAGCTGTCTACAGAAAATGACCCCAGATGATGATGTGGAGACCTACCTGCTGGCGTTTGAACGGACCGCCGTCCGAGAAGGCTGGCCTCCAGAACAGTGGGCTGGAATTATTGCACCTTTTCTCCTGGGAGAAGCACAGAAAGCCTATTTCGACCTGGAAGAGGAGGCTGCTGCAGACTATTCCAAACTGAAAGCAGAGATCCTGGCTCGGTTAGGGGTGACTGCAATAGTAAGGGCCCAGCGTTTCTACAACTGGAGGTTCAAGGAAGGAAAAGCTCCAAGGTCACAGATGTTTGAACTAATCCATCTGGCTCGGAAATGGCTCAAACCAGACATTCAAACTCCTGCACGGATCATAGAAACGCTGGTGCTGGACCGTTACGTGAGAGAGCTTCCAAATGGCCTCCGGGAGTGGGTCACTCAGGGAAACCCCCTAGACTGTGATAGCATGATCGCCCAAGTGGAACGGTATCTGTCTGCCAAAGATTTGGACCGATCTCTCACTAGGTCGAGTGGAAAAATCCAGAG